GATTAACGAAATCCCCATAAGCAACACTTGTAACAGTTATAGCAGTAAAAATCAATGCACCAGAGGGAAATCCTACTCACGCCTCAAACGGTGGATCCTTGTCATTGACATAAACACAGTTAGTCAGTGCCAGTTCGTCTGAAAGGCATTTCGCCGCATGCATAATCTGAAGTGAGAAGATGACTTAGTAATTGCAACAACAACACTCAACTGCAGAATAATATGTGAATAAATACATGTAATAATACAAAAAGATTTATACTTGTGAAAATTGATGCCTTAAACACGTTACACAAATTATGTGGAACCCATGTCCTGTTTTTATCAAATACAGTATCTTTTAAAATTGTGTTGAAAATTAATTTGAATTTTACAAATACAAAATTTGTATTAAGTCTTTAGTTGTTACACATAGTAATGTCCCAGGGAACGATCCATGAAGTCTACGGGAAAAGAGTGAGTCGAAACAGTCAAGCTCACAAGAACTAAGAACTACTTCTTGTTTTTCTCAAATTCAAATTTACATTACTTTACTAAATTAAGTTTGTACAGGCATTTGGTTGATTCACCATTGAAATAAAGCAGTGAGTGCACTGGGAATGTTTTGCAAAACTATTACACTTGTAACAAATATGTACAGAATATGAATGCTGGAATTAAATTCACATAACTTGTTGTTGTGTAATCTTTGAACCTCCCCTAAATGTATTATTTTTCCTAAAAGAAACTTACCACTGTGTCTGAATTGTAATAAGAAGCACACCCATTTTCTGCTCTTAGATAATAACTTAAATTATTTAATAAATTAAATTTCATAGCATTTTTCTAAATACACAGCCATAGTGGAGTTCTCCTCAACCTGGAAAACCATGTCTCAAAATTATGTCCCACTTGAAATTACTACATGAGGAAGCATTCATGTGCATGTTAGAAACGCATTTTTACTGTTATAGAAAGAACTTAAGAAAGTTTTTATTTTTTAACATATTTTCAGTTCTGTTCAAAATTAGTTACACACAGTCACACTACAGGCATTTTACTGATGAAATGACATATCTGTTTATGTTTAGCTTATGTTTTCACTCACTGGCACTTAAAGGCCGGTTGGTGAGATCAAGGTGTTTTGTAGACCTATGTTTAGATGATATTCTCCGGTTTCATATAATAATTTAAAAATAATTACGACAATGGGTGCTCTTATTGTCAGCAAATGCAATGAAATGTCAGCAAACGCAGATGTTTTTAACCCCCGTATTTTAACAATAAGATATAGGTACAATTTGTTTACAACTTTTTGTAGCTTTTAACATTAGACCAGTGTATCTGACTGCCTCTCTAGTGTCTCTTACACATATTAAATGTTTTTAGGTTACACTTCTTTTGCCTCAACTCAGTGATATAATTGCTTAAACAGCCCTTGGCAATGTAATCTGCGACACAATTGATAGTACTAAGTAGTAGTACTGGCCAGTTGTAAAATGCCTTCTTTTAAAAACACGGAGGTTGGAAGCTAAAACACTAGCTGTTTATTTAAGCAGCTGTTCGACTGGTCATAAGGTTCTGCACTCGTCTTCCGGGCTATGAAGTTTTGAATGTAGTTCTGCCACACAGGCTAGTGCTGTGTTGGCTCATTTTAACATCTTTACAAAACCATAAATTCGATTAGTAAGCGTCAAAACCACCATTGCTTACTTTACCAAAGCATCTTAAACATAGTTACATTTAATTATTCGTGTCTAACTAACTCACCCGAGTCGTCATTTTGTGTTTTTTTCTTCTTTAACTGCTCCGTTTCAAGTGCAACGCAGCAGTAACGCTCGGCTGACAGGGATGACGTCAAGAGGCGGGATTTACTTACGCACTGTAGCGTCATCGCGTAAGAGCCGTGAAGGCAGAATCCCTCGTTTAGACTACTATTTTTAGCTTGACTTAATTAATGGACAATTAAAGTGGAAATGCTATAAACACACTCTTAGCCTCCGGAATCTACCTGGTTGTGTTTATAAGACTAATATAACATTACACAATGTATTATTTTAATGTGTGAGGGTCTCATGAAAGGTTATCAAACATCCATGTTTTGAGGAAGTAGTAAAAGTTGAAGGGCCCAGCTTCCTGCCCAGAAGATTGAATGATTAAACTCTGGAGCACGTTTAAATACCAACAATAATTCATCGTGCTCTATTTGTAAGCATGTTGTATGGAATTTTCTGTATTTGCTCTGTAATGCTTATAGATTTGGAAATGAGTTCTGGAGGGTATAGTTCCCTGGCTAAAACACATCCCAAAATCATTACAGAGCCAATTCAATCTAAAAGTTTAAATTTGAAATGCATCTTTCTTTATCCATCTTCATTCAACTCCATGTGGAATTGTTCTTTAACATTTTCTTTACTTACAAAATCCTACTTTGGAAAACAATTCAATTTAAACAATTACATATAGTGCCGTAGCAAATTTGATAAATGAATGGATCCTTGACTTTTTTCTCAACAATCATCCACTGTAAATCACTCTGGATAAAAGCATCTGCTAATTAATAACCTGATGTCTAAAACAGGTAGAATGGAGATTAGACTGAAAAAGTATTTTTGAGAGAGAAGACAAACTTTCTTAAAATACAAAATATTTATTTTTGAAAATGTATTTATAAGAGAAAAACAAAAACCAAATCAAAAACCATACAAATTGTTTGGTTACTAGCATATCACTAGTGCTAATAACTAACAATGGAGAATTACTCACTCTGGGGTCAGGGAGGGTTACTCACAGACAGAGGCAATCTCCACCTCTACCCTCTGATTTTCTATTGCACCCACACACAGAGGCAAACGGTAGTGCCAAAACAGTGGCACCAATGGAGAAATGGCATTTTGTCGGTTTTTATAATTTACATAAACTGAAGGGTAGACATATGGCAATCTTGATCGTGATTTTTTTTTTTTTTTAAAAAAAGGAAGTTTAATACATGTGTAATACAATAATGACAAAACTGTTGGCATTAATATAGAGGAAAAATAAGAGCTAGTGGGAGCTCTTCCAAAACAACCTGTCAATCCCAACCTTCTGAAAACTCAACGGTGTGCTTCTGAAAGAAAGAAAAAGCCCCATCACTACAGACATGAATCTGTAGATGAGTCTGAGGCCACGGAGGTCAAAGTTGCACCTGTAGAGTCACAACCAGAGGCTTGATTAGCCCCGACCTTTTCACAGATATAAACGTATGTTTTCTTTAACCTTTAAATCTCTATTATGGTTGTACAATTTTCCCTGAAGGCCTGATTTGGCCACTGAGTGTTATATAGAATCCTGAAGAGATATCAAAATAAAGAGGAAAAAAAACAAAAAAAATGGTTGGAATTGTCCATTGTGAAGGAGTTGATGGGGGAATCCTGTTGCAGTTTTTAACGTTCCTTCCTCTTCCCCCTATTTAAAATGTTGCACACGCAGGACAAACACACACAGTTCCTCCATCACACTGCCATGGTAGTCTTCTCTGAGAATGCAAAAGAAAAAACACTTTTAGCAAAAAGAAAATAGTTAAAAAAGGTATTGTGCCTATGATTTAGAGATCCATGATTGGAGACCAGACCTATGTCAGCTTCTTAGCTTTGTTGTAAAGCGAGTCCACAACTTTGCTCATGTTCTGAATGGTTTCCAAAGCTGCCTCGTATGTTTTGTCCACTGGGGGCTCTTCAAATATAATCAAGACGCCTTCACCTTGGTCAAGGATTCCTGCAACAGTATTAAGGAGTAAGTAATTATGAACATTTCCTCTATGGCACCTTTAAAGTCCAAGTATGATAGGCTGAGACAACTTTAATTACCGTGAAACTTTTTGTCAAGAATCATTTGTGATAATTTCCTTTCAACAACTCCCTGTTAAGAGAAGTGATAAAACCTTTTAAAAATCTGTCAAAAATACAATACAACAGACAACTGAAGGAATTTACATACCTTTGACAGTTTGATTAAATGTGATATGTGTTCTATCTGAAAATGGAAACAGAATGAAAAACATCAAAAACGTCACATCTTTGTTTTGTTTGTCACATCTTTGCTCTTTTGCAATGACAAATACATCCAATCTGCCAGTGTATCTAGCTGGTCTCAGCTAATTCTTTTATTACATTGTAGAAATTTGCATCACGCATTTTCCTGTGGTGTAACATAGAACAACTATATATAATCTAATCTATAGATTTTTTATTGACTATAATACACATGGATTTTATATAGTGGTCAAACAATTACAAATGCTCTTGGGGTGAAATATTAATACACTGCAAGTGGCCTAAGCAGCAGCCAAACCTCGCTTTTCAAATGCCTTGCTAACCTGTACTCTGGAAAAAGGCTCGATGACACGGATGAGGTTCTGCTCCAGCAGGTTGTCATATAGCTTGGCCAAGTGAGTGTTGATAATTGGGTCGTCCCTCAGTTCTGCTTTGAACTCTGTTAAGGCCTGAAGACAAAAAGCACCAACTTCAGCAGTGAGGCAGGACATAACACATCCTGATTACGATCCATTGAATATTGGGCAACACTTTGAAGAGACTACAGAGAGAGGAGAAAATATAAGGAAACTAATACATACAACCTAAGCAGGAGGAAAATGATTCTTACCTTGTTAAAATCTGCTAATGATCTGTTTTTGCTCGCCTGTGCAACACATTTCAGTGCATCTGTCTGAAATTACAAAAATAAAAAATAAACATAAATTTACCTGTGATCTGATAATGCATACTAGCCATTATAACGTTTAAAAAAAAACCATAGGAATTTAATTCTGCAGAAGAAAACCCTTGACTTGCCTGTCGTCCCGCATATCGTAGAGCAAGCTTTCCACTGATCAGGGCCTGAACTTCTTCTGGCCTGTTAAGTAAGAGAATAATTAACATCATAACATAAATCAACATTTACTTTACAATTAAAAATGACAATAAAATGCATTTGAAGAAAGACTTACAAGTTAAGTACAATTTTACAGAGAAGCATGTATTTGAGTGCTGTGATGGCTCTGGGGCTGTCAATGGAGTCATAGCCTTCAAATGCCTCAAAGAAGTAGGAGTAGGCCGTCTTCCAGTCTTTCTCTTCTGCCGCATGGATGATTCCTGATAAGAATACATTTTTAAATGATCTTTGTTTTATCTAAGTTCAAATCAAACTCATTTCCACTAAATAATTTCTTTTTCACTAAATCCTAATGAAAGTGATAAACTCAATCTTTGTTGCTGTTAATTTGATACTGATGCTGCAAAACTGCAAAGTATATTATTTCTCTTTCAGCTAAGTCAGAACAAACTTTTAAGATTGTTTTTAGCAAGAGTGGAGTAATTTTTCAAGCACAACACTCATTTTGAGCCGACATTACAAAACAGTGAATTGAAAAAAAAAAAAAAATCACAACTACAATAGATTTATCTTTATAAAAAAATGTAGTAGTAGAAACAGTTTTAGCCAAGAAGGGACCAAATATAAAAAGCACATCGAACTTTGGAATTTTTAATACCACCTAGTGGTCAAAAACAACGTTGCAATTTGGAATTGCTTCATATCAAATCCTGACATAACCCTAAAACAGCCTGCAAGTTGAAAACAAATTCGATTTCAACATGTTTGGAAAACAAGAGCCACAAGAATCACAATAGACTCACAGCCACATTCCCATTCAAGCTCATACAATAATTCTGATCCCCTTTTTGGTGATTATGTACTCTTCTACCAGCCTTTTAGAAAATAGCTTGAAGAATGAGACACAGATGTATTACACTGTTGAGTTATTATTGTTTGAATGTGGCAACAGCAACATTTTCTAACCTGACTGCATATCAAGTGCTGCCTGCAGCTTCGGGGGACAGTAGATGGCGTTAGCTGTGGTTCTGGCTGATGTGAGGGCAGCACGGGCTTTAGGCAGGTTACTGAGAGCGTGGTACGTCTTGCTTTCAAGCAGCTGGACCTCCACCAGCAGAGCTTTGTCATCCATCTTTTTCAGCTCCTGAAGCAACTGGGTGCCTGAGGAGCAACACAAATCAGCAAAAATCGGACGTCATGTCATCAATCCCTCATCAAATATGATAATTATTTGGTACACAATTATAGTACATTTATTGCTCCCTAAGAGGAACAAAGATTGCAGATCAGACTAGTGTGGAAAAACAGGTTTTGAGCTGGGAATAGGTTAAATAGTCCGCATTCACAAAATCTCTGGTGATTTTTTTGTTTCTTACAGGACAGTATCTGCAATCCTGCTGGCAAAAGGTTTGCCAAAATTCATAGAACTCACCAAGTGCCAAGGCCTCCTGGTATCTTTTGGTGTCAAAATAAAGTGAGATCAGCCGTGTCTGAAAAAAGAAGAAGTTCAGTTAAAAAGTCTGAGATCAGCATTATTATAATTCCATTTTAGAAATGATGTTTATATAAAAAAAAAGCCAATAGAAAAGATGCAGCCTTGGCTACTGGTCAATATTATGAGATAAACAAAACAACGCAATAATAAAAAGAATCTGATGAACGAGATACTGTGTTCATAACAGTGAGTCCTTCCAAAATGTCAATCATTATAAAGACATTTATGAAAAACAGGGAGATGTTGAAATGCCACCCACACACTACTTAAAAGAATGTACTAAATTATGATCTTACATTTCTAAAAATTACTCCTTGATTTAAGTGCCAGAAAGCGAGAGGAGGTGAGCCAACAGTCACTGAAATATATACAAGTAAGTGACTGTTAGTCTTTGCCAAAACCACCACATCAAATCAATGTAATATATAGGATAGATCCAGACCTGTTGAACTAAGGCACACAGGCCATTTCTAATGTTTGCATTAGTCATGTAATGACAGTGGGTTTCATAACTTTCCTATCATTCTCTTCATTAATTCACACTTGATTGATTTAGGTGTTAGTTATCCTCTCACACAAGTTTACAAGTTAAGTTCAGATTGGTTAGACAATCCAAAAAGGATTAAACTAAACTGTAATCTAATTTTAATTAGCTTACATAAATGTAAATGATAACACAATGTTATCTTCTTACTCATCAAACTCAAATGAACTGTTAAAGAACCTAGCTCTGGCACCAAGATGTTTTTATAATGTAGAAAGTTTCATTAGGATTATTGTATGCTGTTAAAAAAAAAAAAAAAAAAGTCTACTATGAGGCCAAACTAACCTCCAGAGCCTGTCGTAGGAAGGTCCTCTTCTCAGCCTTGGCCCACTCAATGCATTCAAGACACAGTTCCACTTCCTGACCCGTAGCTGCCTCCATGTCAAGAAACAGATCTAGCAAAGAGCGAACCAGTCGAGCTGCTTTGGCTTTGCTGATGGAAATCAGAAACGGCCTTACAAATTTCAGCAGACCACCAAGTTCTGGAGACAAAACATCAACAGATAAAAAAAAAGCACGTTATTTCTAATCACTTTGTTTTGGGGTTGATGTGTGTAAAATTAAAAGATATTCAATACCTGCTGCCTGGCCTGTTTTGGCCAAGAGCGTCCCCAGCTCCAAGATGCTCTGTTCTTTGACCCTGACAGCTTCCTCATCGTTTTCTTGTACATCTCTCCTTACTATTAAAAACAATTAAACATTTAAAACATTAAAATGCCAATCTGATTAGATATTTCAGTTTTTAGGAACTGACCAATACAATGACACATTTTTATTTTTAACATCCAGTCACAGTCTCTATAAATGAAATTTATGACAGACATGACTACATGATTTGTTCATCTAACATCAGTGTTTTGTATAGTTGTTGTTTAAAAATAACTGCTGGGGTGATTAAACTGTCAAACTAAATGTCGTACATAGAATAATTTAAAATGTGTGCTAACACTTTAAAAGTCTTGATTGTTGCAAAAAAAAATTTAAGTGGTGGATCTTTTGTATACACTTGGCTTCGATTTTGTTTAAAACCACTACCAGTTTTACACTGTTGTATTATTACTTCAATTATCTCGCGTAGTAACCAAATGACTAATATTAAAAATGTGTTCAGAGGTTGTTCAGACACTTGACAGCTAATGTGCTGGTGTGACAAGGCAATTTGACAACATAGCGGTGACTACGAGAGCAGGGTTTTCAACAAGCCATATTATTCAATTTGATAAATAATGAAAACGTACACATCATAGTACATATTAACACAACCGAAACGATTTAATAATAGTAGTTGAAGCTTTGTTAGCTGGAAAAGAAGACCGTGGACAACAAGCTAAAACACGTTAGCCGCACCAATAATTACTGCACATCCCAGTTTAAGAGCGAGAAAGTAATTGGCGTGTAAAATTGCGGTCCGAGACGAAGGAATCATAAACACTTTGGCAGCAAAACAGAGCTATTCCTTATTCACTTTAAGGGCCCTAAATTAGCCCTTTTGCTAACTGAATAGCCTGCTAATATGTATCAATAGAGGTTTCCCAGCGTTGAGCAGTGAGTCAGCAGCGCACACCGCCGGCTCCTACACTAACCGCTGATTGCTAACCAGCTAAAACCACTGCTTCAAACTGAAGCGAAGAAAATTACAAATGTCAGTGGTGAAGTGTATATGATACCTATGTCAAACCACAAGCCGAAAACTCACCTATTGAATGGAGAATGTCTATTGAAGCATTCCGGTCCGTGCTAATGAGAGACTGGGCTCTCTGAAACTCAACCACTGCTGCAGCCGCCATCTTCCTTATTCGAAAGCTACTTGAATGAGAATTGCGTGCGCGCAATTACGTTTCTTTGCGTCGATGACGTCACAATACGGTAGCGTCTGTGCGAGGGCTAATGGGAAATGAAGTGTAAATACGATTCATTTAAATGGTCCGTTGATGCGTAATGCGTTTTTTCTACAATGGAACCTCATTCGATCCTTTGAAAGAAGCTGCCTTTGATCAACTGTATGGTTCCCCTTGTATCGCCACACTTTGTGGTAAAGGGAGAAAATTGTTAATAAAATAAACAGTTAAAGTATCTATTTAACTGGTCTCAGGATGCATTGATGAAAAGTTATGGAGTTGATGACAATGATACCATTTTACAGAGGAAGCAACACACTGTTGATGTTACTTGGAAGTCATGTTACTTACTGCACCAAAGGTACATTTACTGGATCCCACGTTCTATGAGAGAATGATGATTAAATGCATAAAATAATTGTTTTTCTCTACTTCCTACGACACTAAAGCCCATCTCCACCCACGTCCTCTACACCTTTGTTGTACCCTGTCCTGTCCTTTTAATAGTTGACCCTAGGTACTGTATTCTGGGTCACTTACTTCCGCTGCCTCTGCTCTTCGCCTCCCACTTTCCCTGCACTACCATTAACACATGTATTCTACAAATTGGGTTAAAGACTCTGAAACTGATTGTGAGGGCCAGGGACCTGCTACTAACAGTATCGTCTTGTGTACAAATGTGATTTTTATTAAATTGGCTTAGTGCCACATGTAAACGTTGTTGTTTTGAATTCAGTACTAGGACATTCATAAATTAGACATGATTAGAAAAAAATAAACACCTTCTCTAAATGCTATTTTCTTTTTTTTTTTTAGCAGTTTCATTTCAATTCCATTCACTAAAACCTAGATTGGTAAATTCTGTCGTCCCCATGAGGTGAAGTTAATTTTTTTTTTTTCAACAAAAACAAATGTTCTCGTTTTTTATTGATAACTAAAGGCTAACGAACAGTACTGTATGTTCTCCTTCATACAAGGAAACATTGGCGAGGAGTTGGGATACTCACCAACAACATCGAACCCCACCACTAGATGGAGATAAATGATACGCAATGTAAGATTACCACGGTGCAAAACACTGTAGGAACTACATTGTTGGTCACAGTGTAGCGCACGCTGTGTGAAACACACATGTGAAACAAAACAACACTGGGATATTTGATAAATAAACCTGTTCATACTGTATTGTACCGTAGAGTTCATACTTACTTATACTGCCTGTGGAACTCGATGTAACAGCTCCATCACAAATGTACATTACATTTCAAGAAGACACTGTATATAAAATCTTATATGATGAATGAAACATTAAAATTAAATCCCTTTGAATGTGGCGAAGTCATATTATTTGCGTTAACGATTCACACAGAGAAACACAGCAAAACTGTTTTTGTTTGTTTTTTTTTTTCAAATCCAACTGAAAACAGCTATTTAATTTTTTTTAATTCTATTTATTTTTTAAGGAATCCATGCATGCTGTAGAACAAAACATAAGTTCAGCGGGTTCATCTTACATGGTTACCTGTGTGTGTGTGTGTGTGTGTGTGTGTGTGTGTAGGCGGAGTTGTTTCCCATCAGAGACAGCACCGTGCACACAGCGGCGCCCCACCACCGCCTTTGCGTCAGCCCTCCTCACACAGTCAGAGGCAGAACAACACATCAGCCCTCGCAGCATCCGCATCTCACGGTCAGGAGGAGCAGGAGGAGCACGTTCTCATCTAAGCATCCATTCCACCACTGGCCAGCATCGTCTGCGCATTGCCCGCACTGCAAACGTCCTTTTCCAGCGATTCACTGTTGGACTATTTTACCACCACGTTGCTGTTATTCGACATGTTTTGATCGCCTTAGGTCGTGGAGCAACATCTTAACAGCGTATTTATTTCTCCGTACGCCTGCAGATCTGGTGAGTGTGCTTTAATTTGCTTCTTACATCCTAAACAGCGTGCACATTTTCGCGTGGATCTCTTGTAAACAGGTGATACGAACGAAAGAGAATTTAATGTGGACAAGGATACAGTACAGAAAATACTGATGTTGGGTATTTTTAAAAATATATTTCTTAAAGCCACCGCCTATTTGCTCTATATTTATATATATCTATATTTCGACGCAGACTCTGTCCAGCTTCAGCACCACGGACAGCACTCCGCTGCAGATTACCCGATATTAATCTCCTATTTTCACCAAACCTGACAAGAATACAGTCATTTAAACATTGTTTTCTCCATAACTGCTCAGTCGATGGTCAGACTGTTTGTGTGGCGGTTTAATGGAATGGCGGATCGAGCTGCAGAATCCTGCGCAAAGTGATCAAATTCGACGCATTGACTGCCTTTCACATGCTTTATGGCTGCAGTGAGAGAGCGAGCGTGCTGTGCTAACAGGAAATAATAATAATATGTATTTGATGTTTATCAGGGTAACGAAAATACATGACCTTGATTTATATATGCCAAGACTCAGATACAGCCATCACGACCTTCACCTGTTATAATGGTGTTTACATTTGTCTTCCATTTTATTGAGAGGGCGGCGCATACAGTAAACAGAAGTGAGTCGTCGGCCATGGCTTATAAAATATGGATCTCTCATTATAAAATGTTTATGAATTTATGATGTGGAATAATTTAACGTTGGGAGCAGCTGCACAGCATGCCTAAAATATCATCATTTTGGTGCTCTTTGTATGGATGGGTAAGATTGGTTGATTTTTATGTTTTGTTTGTTTTTTTAACAGTATCTTGCACCTTATATACTACTACTCAGTTAAAGCCTATCAGATAAAATACACAGAAACATGTTTGTATGAACATTAAAATACCAAATAACTAAAGAAAAAGTAAAGAAAATGGAACAATTATAGACCAAATGCCTGAGAGCTGTGCATGCCATGGGCCAGAATAGGTATTGTCTATGTATCCACTGTTGATTACCACTAAGATTATATTCGTTGCAATTACATATATTTCAATGTATTTGATTAGTGCATTACAAGCTAACATTAAAAGGGATGCACCAATTCTGAAAGTCTTAGCTATAGTGCTATTTCAGATAATTGATAGACAGTTTTGATGGTGTTATTATGTATCATATGACCATGTGCCCCTTTTTCCAGCCTTATAAAACTTCCAGTAAGCTGCTTTCTAAGTCTGACTGGACAACTGCAAATGACCGCAACATTGGTTATTTCTATTCTAGTTAATGGCGTCAAGTGCAGTCAACAAAAGAAATTTACTGATGTTTGTCTGATGTTTTGGTGCAGCCCTAAATTCAAACCTCCCAGCTGTGGATGGAATTTCACAAAACAGCTTTATTAATTCATGACAGTTAGTGGCAGAAATAATTTTAACTTTCATTTTAATAACTGTTCTAGATAGTGGATAGTTCATATCCACATCCATACCAGCTGAAACATAGGTAGTAAAGTGGAAAAAATATGTTTGCAATTGATTGACTATTTTTGTTTGCCAGAAGTGTCACACATTTTTTAAAACCTGTTAAATCTCCAATGAGTTTTGGGCCTCATAATAGCTCTCTATGTGCCACAGTTGGCACACAAGCCAGACTTTAGACATTCTTTCACAATTTTCTTAACATAATTTCCCCTTTTAAATTTTTTCTATTTCCAGTTCTGTTCTTTTGGAGACTCAGACAAACAGCTGAAATACAGCAGTGATTGTTCTGGGCCAGGAGACTGTTTTTTTCTCAGAGAGCAGATCCAAGACTTTCTTCTGGCTTTCTCCTTTTGATGCCCACAGGCAGCCTGTAGCTCGGGACTCCCCACTTTCTGGAAGCAATCAAGCTTTGAGCTCCTCAGGTACTCCCCTGCTCTTCTGCCCCAGTGCGGCTGTCGCCCCTGGACATCCTCCCCCAGTCACCATGGGAACCGTCTTGTCTTTGTCACCTAGTTACCGAAAGACGGCTCTGTTTGAAGATGGACTGGCCACAGTGGGCCACTACACGGCCGTCCAGAACAGCAAGAACGCCAAAGACAAGAACCTGAAGCGTCACTCGCTGATCAATGTGTTCCCTTGGAAGCGGATTGTAGCAGTGTCAGCCAAAAAGAAAGGCTCCAAGAAGGTGCAGCCTAACGCCACCTACCAGAACAATGTCACCCACCTGAACAATGAAAACCTGAAGAAGTCGCAGTCCTGCGCTAACCTTTCCACCTTCACCCAGGATCAGAGCACTCCAGCTCTCACTAAGAGCTCTAACAACACAGCATCATCCGTCAAGAAGGCACCTTTGACCACCTCCAATGTGGCCCCAGGGACCCCAAAGAGAGTGATCGTCCAGGCCTCCACCAGCGAGCTGCTGCGCTGCCTTGGGCAGTTTATGTGCCGGCGTTGTTTCCGACTCAAACACCTGTCCCCTACTGACCCGGTGCTGTGGATGCGCAGTGTGGACCGCTCCCTGCTGCTTCAGGGCTGGCAGGACCAGGGATTCATCACCCCCGCCAATGTGGTCTTCGTCTACATGCTCTGCCGGGATGTGATTTCCTCCGAGACGGCTACCGAGCATGAGCTGCAGGCCGTGCTGCTCACCTGCCTCTACCTGTCCTACTCCTACATGGGCAACGAAATCTCCTATCCCCTCAAGCCCTTCCTGGTGGAGGGCTCCAAGGAAGACTTCTGGGACCGCTGCCTCGCCATCATCAACCTGATGAGCACAAAGATGCTCCAGATCAACTCTGACCCGCACTACTTCACCCAGGTGTTTGCTGACCTGAAGAATGAGAGCCAGAAGGCAGAGGAGAAGAAACGCCAGCTTATTGGTCTGGATCGGTGAGGGAATAATAAAGATGGGGGTAGGGAGGCAAAGGGATGTGGGGCAATGAGGCAATTTCCATCTGGCATTTTGACAAATCTGGAAAAAAAAAACATTTTGTGATGCTATTTAATTATTTATTTATTTATAAGCCAAGATGTATTGGTAGGATAAGTACTCCAGACATTTAGCAAAATATTGAGACAGTTTTGAAGGGCGCGAGCACCAGGAACACCAAATACCAGACGACAATAACCAAACCCAACAAGATCACTATTTCAAAGGCCTGAATAAAAACAACAATTCATTCCAATTTAGAATTTTGCAAATGTTTTGACCATGAAATCGTCCTTGGGTCCATTTGTCTCAGGCACACCAAATTTAGTAAGTATGCATGTAAATCAGGTCAATGTGAGCAAAAATGTACAGGCCAGCAGGAAGTCAGCCAGCTGAATAATGTTAGTGAAACAAAAACAATATCAAATCTGACACCGTGGTGTTGATGTACTACTGACATGATCTGCATCACCATGACAACATTTGATGTTTTCATTCATATTATTTTACACCGAATGAGGGGCAGGTCAAAGCCATTCTGATGCTACAGCGCCACACAGTGGCAATATTAAACATTACACATAAGGAGGTGCTCTGGCCCACTTCACATCACAGTATCTCTAATTTAAATATGTAAATGGGTGAAGGTGACAATGGTCGAAGACAGACACCCACTGTTAACAGTCTGCCTTTGTCGTGGCCAAATTCTACAAGGATGTGAGCGAAGGAAGGAGGTTGTATGTGATCCTGAGAATGTGAGAGACCAAACGCCAGATGTCTTGAAGTCCTTTGCAAAGGCACAGATATATATCTAGAAAAAAATCTAAATCACTTCAGACAAAATTAAAGATAGAAAAGGAAACATGCATCTACAGCATTGAATGTGGACATGACTGAGGTTTGAGCAGCCGTCCAGTCACCTTCTGACTCTGACTGTGATGTGCACTGCCTATACAGGAGGGTGAGGGCCATGACCTGGCTGGCTTTCTTCACACATCACAGATGAACAGACATCCTCCCTCGGCTACAAACCCCCGGCTCTTTTGGACCGCCAACACCCACGTCCCCAACATCCATGTGGATATGATGGACTGTGTTTGCCTGCAATGCATATTTGGCTCTTTAAGCAGAAAGGACAGCCGCATTGGATCCATATTTTTGTGGGTTTCCATGTGTGGACACTTGTATTTCCTAAGGGGCCAGCTTGTATTGTAGAACTTTTGATATAAAACCAACAACCCCAGGGCATTTGACCAGTGTTGTGTGTGTTCAGAAAGACATACTTTATTTTCATCTAGAACAAAAAAGTAATGGGTGATTTGCTCCCAGGGAGGCGCACTTACTGCTTTTTCGTTGACTTTTTTTGTCTTTTTTTTTTTTACTTAGAAATCTAATGTTTTTTGCACGTGTGCCATGCAATTTTACAAAGATTTCTGTGGGAACAGAAGTGATTATTGATTCTCTTCTTTTTACTCGATTTCTAAACCAACTGCATCTGCATTAGAGAATGCTGTGAACAAAGTGACACTAGTTTATTTAGCTCTGCTTGCTAAAATAGGCTCTTTGTTTATTACCAAGGATAGTCATTTCTGTCGTTTTGTCAAATTCTGTTGGCTTTTGTGCTCTGAGAAAATGAAAACAAAAAGAAGAAACGGACAAAAAAATAGTGCCATATCTTTGATGAAAATCTGAGAACATTCTGAGATGTTGGAGTGGATTTTTATCTGCTATTGTTTCTTTTCTGACACCTAATTTATTGCCACTGATGTATTTATATTACGGCACATTTAAGGGAAACGATAAAAGACTTTGAAAAGGGAATGAAGGGGGCGCCGTTACAGGTGTGCTTGACTCTTGGTGGGAATGAAGATTGTTGTGGTTTCAGAGAATGAATGTCTTGGGCATTTATTAACTTAGTATCATTATAACGTCACTGATCACAAATCTGACCATCGCCAAAGCTGCATGCAGACATCAGCGACCTTTAACTCGCAGACACGCCCAGGAACATCTGCATCAACCACGGCCTGCATGAGAAGCTCACACATATCAGGCAGAGAAAGCACAGACTTTTCATCACGGGGATAAAAAAGTCAACGACAGCCGCTCGCCATCACTGCAGAACAGCATAGCTTCCTGTGGACCACAGTCACCGACAGCGTGTAGCTTTGACTCAGTGAATCCACATTGATAAATGTGCAATTTTGAAAAAAAAAAAAAAAAGCAAGTGAATGAGCAGAAACCTGTTTGATTTTCTGATCGTTTGCATTCATTGCTATTATTTTGTCATATTCTTAAACCACATTTCCCTAGTACTGTAATTAAAAAAAATCCTTCACCAAAAATGTTTAATCTCTTTGCCCGTGTGTTTAAAGCGACTCTGAGTGCCCCATACTGTGGCCCCTGCACTAATGTAGAACTACGGTAGCCATGTGGGGCCACAACCGTGAGGAAGAGTTTGTTCAGACTGTTTGAACCAGCACAATAACAGGAACAGGCGCTCTGAATGGGCTTTCCAAAAAACAAGACCAACAAACCAGGGCAGTGAGGTGAAAAGTGTCCAAAAAAAACCCTGAATCTTTTTGTCTTGGTTCACTCGCCACAACTTGCTTCTAATGTGCCAATCCCTCCCCGCCCTCCCTGTTTTTTCATCATTTAGTAGATGGTTGTGGAAATACTTTGAAAAGTTGAAAAGTACTGGAAAAAAAGTCTCAAGTGAAAGATAAAGACTTCTGTCAGGATTCTTTTTCTGTATCTTGGTGCGTACTTTGTAGATATAAAAATGAAACAATGGTTAAGACATGAAAAGGAGCCTTTTAACAGCTGCATGAGCGTGTGTGTGAATGAATACAGTATGTATGTGTGTGTGTGAAAGGTAACGTTTTATTTGTACAGAAGAATGTGTGACATGTTGTTCTCTTATGGAAAACAAACAGGATATACGCGTTTCATTGGTGGGTGAGGGAGGGGGAGTCGACACTGTTCAACAAACGTCTTTTTTGGAGAAGACAGAAAAGCCTTCGCTGTAATTGAGATTTTTTTTCCTGGTTAGGTTTGGCTTATTTTAATTTATTTTTGTACTGTGATGGAAAAATAAAAAGCACCGATCGCTCCAGGGTGTCACTGGTCTGTTGCTTGCTTGTTGCGTCTGGAAGTCACATGTACGAACAGCTGTTAGTGGGTGGCTCAACACGGGGTTCATGACACTTCATCTCATCAAGACTTGGACTCAACAGAGCACCACATGTGATCGACCTTCTCCACATCTATCAAACCCATGTGGGTTTTACCTCAACACACGGACACAGGAGAATGAAGCAAATATATTTATTAATATAATGATTATTTTCTTCAGTACTGGATCATCTCAGAACGCAGTGTCTGCATTTATACATATTGTGCACTTGCAGACAACAGTATTACAGTATATCTATGGAATGCAATAATGTACACAAATCATCAGAAATAGTTGACATTAACACACATGTAGGCACTTGTTGTGGAAATGGTTGATGCGTGTACACTTTAGTCAAAAATACATAATAAATTATGGAGAAAGAGAAGAGACTTTGGTTCTATTTTGCCGACATTTCAGGGAGTTTACATCGTCATTTATTGTTAAGGAGGAAAGGGGAACGACAGCGCATGTGTGATGTCACCACTGTTACTTTGAAATCAAATAGATTTGAATTATTTTGTGTCAATCAGTATCTTTGACATTAAAACACAAACAAAACACATGAAAAGACCATAACCATTACAATGGCAACAGTTGATTATCTCCCATTTCATCTATACATATATATTCATATATATGTATATATATATTTATATACACACATGTGTTAGTGTGTGTGCATATATATAAATAAAGTATATAAAGTATATTAGTATATTAGAGTGTAAACGTTTCTGAACGGCTATAGATCCTGTTGTGCCAGATAACAGTGTAAACCTTGCTGTAATGGTTCTGGTCTGTTCCTGTGTATCCTGTAATACACTGTAGATCCACAACAATAACTCTGTGAATCTGTGATCTGCTTGCTGCTCCTATTGTTTCCCCCTTTCGTCCCAGGTGTGTTTCCCTTTCTCCTCCCCAATCCATGCCTCCTGGGCACAGGAGGAATTGGAAACAAAATAGCCACAAAAAAACAAAACAAAACAAAAACAACAAATCCTTCACTGCCCTGCAGGACAGTAGGAAGCCTTGCTTGGCAAAGAACCAAGTGATTTGACAGGGGGAAAGCAGTGGAAAAGGAGGCGGAGGGAGAAGAATATAAGGAGTGGTGAAGAAAAGGAGGCCAAGACAGTCTTTGTTCACTTGCCCTCTTTGCTTCAAGGCAGCACAGAGAGAAGTGAAAAGTGACATGAGCTCCATCCTAATGGTGAACGGCCGAGCAGAGAGGAGCCCTGTGGGAGATTAACAACGCCGAGGGGTATGGAGAGCAGCAGTGGTTTATGGTCCACATACATGTACGTACACACACATACACACACACACACACACACACACAGAGCTAGAATGGAAACCTTGTATTAGTGTCACAATCTTAATCCAACTATGAAAGCACTAATTAGCCCAGGCAGCAGAGCTGTGCCCACAGAGCTGCCTCTTCCACAGGCAAGGACACATGGAAACTAATGAAGATAAATGACCACTTCAGACAACACTGGGGCACAATTATAGGATGATGCTGCTGCGGGTAAAGTGACCGCCAACAAGTTTCCCTTCCTGTTGAAGTCCTGAGTGAAGCGGCTTGTTCAGCTCAACCAGCCACAGAGGGAGACGTGACCCACAGACATTAGCCCACACTGAGTACTGCATCCTTTGTTTAGGGTTCATCAAGTGAGAAGATCCCGTCTACGGCCTGGGATCTCATCTGTTTCAATGAGACTCGTGTCCAGTAAGTAGAGTTTTTTTTCCCCATTTTTGAATGTTCAGGTGTTTTATGACTTGTGTCATTGTTGGTCAGTTGTTTGTAGCGTCTTCAGCCAAAGACAATTCTGTGACTGTGTTCTAACTTTGACAAATGAGGTTTTCAAATAAGGTGTCTGCAAAGATTTTTAAAAAGAAAAACAAATGTGTGATGCTGTGTCAAAGTGAACGAAGAAAAGCCTGAAAGAAGAGTGCAGAACATACAGTACTGACTGCTGTGGACGTGATCAAGATAATTTGGCAGAACGAACATCAAACACGAAGCACAGCTCACGTCACCACCAACATCCACACAAAGAACGGTCTTTTACCTCATTACACACGTTTGTAAAGTAGGACACGAGTCCGACTCCAACAAACCTGACTTTACTCTCTGACTCATCGCACTGAGCACAGAACAGAGAGGCTGGTGGAAGAGGAGCTCAAAAGACCGCTGTGGTCACTTTACACACGGCAGGACAACGTCGCAGCCTGGAGTTAACAACAGTGACAGAACAGTGACATCTTTGACACCGGCCTATGTCATTTACAGTATCATTCACTGCCAGTTTTGACAGCACAGGTGCTATCCATACACAGAACAGCTGCATAATGATAATAATAATAATAATCAATGTTTAACAAGTGTTAAAAATTAGGATAAACAAACTGAGAGAGGCAGGAATTAAATTAACAAAATTTTAGCACTTGGTTTGTCACGGTGTGGATGTTATGGATACGTTCAACACATCCTACTCCACATCCTGTGACTAAGAAGCAGACAGTGAGTTCCATGTTCCCATATGTGATTGTAAACATTTTTCCAGGAGTGACTCCTCGTGTCCTTCAAACCTGATATTAATCCATTTCCCCAGACTTCCACTTCTGAACTACACAAATGCCGAGCAGTAGGTTTATATTAACTCCTGCAGAACTACCTTAACTAAATGTCCGCCGTCATTAGTGGTTTCAGAAAAACTGCTGAAACGTCTCTCATCACATCAAGGATAACAACTGATCCACTGAGGTTAATATTGCACAAAGCAAATCGTTTGGATTAAAAGAAAAATGCAGAATTTTTTTACACTATTTTTATCAGTGTATCATTGCATAGAAATTATATATTATTCACTTTTGGCACATTGGAGGATGCAGTAACTGTGTATCCTCCTTCAGGTTATCAGATGCTCTGTACAAACAAAGAATCAGAAGTGAATCATCAGCATCACATCCTGATATGATCATAAATCAGCTCTCAATGTTTTCTATTTCATTTATTTTTGTCTCGACCCACTTCAGTTTCCAGGAACGGCCAGGATGTAACCGGATCGGCTCTTAGTAAAGTCAGGCTGTGATTGGTTGATCTTGGGTTCGACGATGACTGTGCACTTCCTGCCATTCATGCTGCACTGGATGGGGGTCACAATGTTCACCTGCAGCTTCCTCTTCTCACTGGGACAGAGAACAGAAATACAGAAGAGTTAGGCTGATATTACTTACCTCAAAGTTCTCCTTGAAGGTTTAGCCATGAAGCTAACACAACAGGATATGCCATTAGGAAATTTAAATAAGAAATAATTATAAACTGGACCAAAAAAAAGGGTAGTTTGGAAACATTAAATACTCTTGTGAGCATCTTGTAAAAGATGCTCACAAACTGATGACTAAAAGAATAAAATGAGAGTGTGCATCATCTTTTAATAAACACCAACAGTGTTACTTAACAGAAGTTAAAGTATGTAATAAGTGGCAAGATGACTGTGTCTTTAAAAGAAAGTAGATGAAATATCTCTAATAAATTTTTTGGTCAAATTTATAATTATTTCTTATTTTATTTCCTAATGGCATATCCTGTTGTTATACATACATGTATGATGTGAAGTGAAGTATTGATACTGCAGATAATGCAGTAATGACAAAGTTTTCTTTCCAAAGCCTGGTTGTTTTTCTATGTTCCGCTGTACAGAATAAGAACACTATGATGAATTACAGGAGAACCCACACAGGAGAGACGTTGAAGGAATGATCCATATGGTGCTGCTGGGCTGGGGCGCAGCAGCCGATTGGCTTTTAGTGCCTGTCACATTTAGTTAAAGCCTTTCCGGGTGAATGGCTGCGTTGCTTCAAATGTGCTTAAATAGGATCGATGAGCGGGAATCAAAGAGTGAGGGGGAAAAAACCCCGGCATAAACCGTTAAACTGTCCACAGGGTGGAGGAGGAACCTCTGATTCCACTGAACTGGGAGTGAGAAGATGAGTGGGATGATGTCGTCTGAGGAAGGAGGAAGGGGAGATGAAGGTGGAGGACAGAGGAGCCATGTGGGTTAAAAGTCTTACAACCTCATTAGTCTGGGTGGACTGTGTTAGCGACAGACACTTTCACTGACACACTTCTTGAAAACGGCTGCGTCACAGCCTCCAGTCTGAACTTTCAGTCATTCAGTGATTCAGTGGTGGATCTGATCAATCTGGTCAAATGTGTGACAACCAGACAACAACAACAACCAGCCCAGAAGCATCTGCTGCCCACACTGCAGTGTTCGTCTGTATCACGGCAGAGTGAAGATGCTCAGGATAGTGCCGGTGATGGTTTCCATGGTAACCTGCCGTGAACTGAGCTCCCCATCTGTCATGGCTGCCTGCCAACGGATGCTACTGTTAGCGTTGTGATATGTCTCTTTCTTGACCTGTCTATCTTTACTGAAAATAACAGAGGGGGTGCTGAGGGGCTGACAGGGCTGGGCTCACAGGAGTGTGTATATAGTACACACACACACAGAGTAGTGTGCACAACTTTACTTACTCTTCTAACTTCACTTTACAACAGTCTCCTACAGTCTCCTACTACTCCTGCCTTTGCGATTCATAAATCGTAACAAATATCCACAAGGTAAGTCTGTATGTCATTATTTAAAAAAAAATAAAATTTAACAGCTAGAATGATAATTGAATAAAGATTTTATTATGATGGCTTTACAAAAATAGCACATGAGGTGAGAAATGTGTGTAAATGTAAATGGTTACCCAGTATTTGTTTTTTATCTATACACTTATCTATCTATACATTTATACTTATCTGTATGCATTCATACATATAAATATATGAAGATAATATATAACATATATATTGATACATATACACCTGTACACATATATTGGTCTCCTGTTTAGAAAAAAACCTCTAAATCTGACCTTGTCCTTAATTTCACACAAAAACAGTTTTCACCGTCACGTTCCGCTGATGATGTCACTCGCATGTCAGTAACATCCTTAAGAATGTGATTGTGTCATCTGAGCCCAGAATATCAGTCAAGTCTGTGGAAAGACCTTCCCATCAGCAGCTGGTCAGAGCCTGAGGGCAGACTTAGTCCTTGACTGGATGGGCTCTCTGTCTGCAGAATCAATTCTCTCCTCCGCCCAACACCCCTTCATATCCCCACGTGGGCCTTTGCCCTTCATGCCATGTGAGTCCATGCTCACTTATGCTTCTGAAAGATTGACTTTTGTCAGTTAAACAAATGGGGAAGAGGATGAAGCAAATGCACCAGGAAAACCATCGGGGAAAGCTCCTGATGAACTCTGGGAGGGTTGGGCTGGAGATCCTCGGTGAACCAGCTCCGCAGACATGAAAACTGCAAAAATGACTAAGGGGGGATTTGTTTGACATTTGCATAACAAAGAATAAAATACACAAGTAGTTGTAGCGCTTCCTGCAACCATTGTGGTGCTGTACACACACACACAGAATGGTCTCTCTGTGCCTGGAACAAACTCTGTAAATATTCAGACCTCAAAATAATGATATACAGTATATATAAATATTGAGCCATATTTAACTCAACTTGATGATACACAAATGGACCAGAGGGTATTCACAATTTTCTTCACTCTTCTGTCATCTAATAAACATTTTGAAAATCTTTACAAATTTAAGGCCTGATAAGTAAATATTTTTTTTTTTTTTGCCTTTGCCTCTACAGGGGCTCCAGAAAACACAGAAGAGACAGGAAGTACACAATTAGACCCTGAAAGCAGCATGACAAGTGAGGTGAAACCAGAATGAGGGGAACAGGAGGAAGGGGGAGGGGAGGGAGATGATCCAGGCTATTTTTGGAGCGAGGAGCCAAGATTACCTTCAGCGTGAGCGATAACCCAGCCCCAGATCTTAGTCATACCTCTGTACCTGGATCTAACTGAAGAGGGACTTTCCATGGAGCTGACTGGGATTAAAAATCACAGATTTAAGGATTAGATCGCCGTAATCTCACCTGTGTTAAAAAAATGAGAGTGTTGTTTTATAATTAAATATATTACAGCACATTAGTAACTGCTGAGCAGCTTTATTAAAGAGTCCATTTTCAGTCAGGATTATATGGACATCAATGTTAGTTTCCTCTCACATTGCCTCTCTTGTATTCCCTGTTTTATTTTCTTTATGTGCACACACAGAGTGATGTGCTAACAGAACCAGAGATTCACAAGAAAGACATTGAAAAAAAAAAAAACCCAGCAGAAATGTGAAAATGCCCCGGCAGCAAAAAAGAAAAGGCATCGATTAAAACGTGCAGAGCAGTCAGAAAATGACAGAGAGGTGGAGTTCAGGGGTGAAGCTGCCAAAGCCAGGCTTACATCAAAGTCTTTCTTACAGTAGCTGAGCATCAGTTCTGCTCCAGGGCTTCTGCACAAGCCAGACAAAGAGAGGCGTGATGAGCCGCGGCCCCTGGTACACGCTGTAAAGCTACTTTTCCATCAGGCCCTGACACATGAGCTGCTGACATCCAGGCACGACACTGCCTCAAGTTACGTTTGCTTTCTATTGATATGGTGTTGAAGACGGGTCTACACGACTCCCACAACCTAATCACACATGAAGAAAATACACAGGCTGAAGTCCTCTTGTTAAAATGCAAAGCTAGCACCTGTCCTTGTTTCTGCACAGTTAGCACGATGCTGAGATGCTGCAGCGGAGGACGTGGAAATGCTGACTGTCGTAGAGCCTGAGGGCTCCTGAAAGGTCTGGAATAATAGGAGTGTATTTAGTTGAATACTGCAATATTTACTGAGAATAATACTTTACACCTGGGTGAGCACAGGCCTTGAGCCACTTCTGTTCTGTCAAAGATACGGAGAAATCAGTCTGACGACATTCAAACAGTTTCTCTCTCTCTCTGTCTTCATGATTGTCTTTGTCACAGAGCCACTATTATCTCCATTCTTCAAATTTATCTCCAATCAATTTGTTTTGTGGCACTAGTTCCTAGACAGGAGGTGTGTGATGACGGCTTGTACGCCATGTCCAGATATTCCATATTATCTGTGAACCTCCTTCTGTTCACACACACACAGTAAAAACCAAAATTCACTTTGAAGAAACAAATGCCAGGACATCGACCCCAAGAAATGAAAAACATCAATTACTGGACACATGGATTTAAACCTTTTAGTGGCTAGTGATTTCTTAGTGTTTAATACTAAACTTCCTGCATGTTAAATGTCTAATCCCATGTAAAAGAGAGTAGACTACAACATATGGCTCGACCACTGGTGGGTGTGTCTGAACTCTCTCTTCTTATTCCCTGAAGAAAGGCAGCTGATTGACGGTTGTCAATAGCAGCCACTTGTGCAGGCTGTTGTCAGGAGCCCAGTGGCTCTGGTTAAACAACAGGACACACTTTCACCTTTACTCCCCTCTGTTTAAGTGCTCCGTGGGACGTGAAGGACTACAGGAAATGGACAAAGAAATGGCCCTCGTCTCTGGGGGACACTGAAGTCGCTCCACAGATGGCGGAGACTGTCAGCCACTGCAGAGGGGCAAGAGCCACACAGCAGGGGGGTTGATCAGGATTGTGTATGTGTGCCACTAAAACTCCTGATCTAAGCCTTATACACTGATCAGAAACTCCAGCCTGACTGAAGTTGGCTTAAAAACACATTAAAGTCAAATCAATGGGCTGGCACACAATGAGACAACATGGGAGAAAGACAGACGGCCTCAATTAGTTGCTCATTACTGAAGGGAGACCGCTCACTTCTCCATCGTCCATACCTTCAACTCTGCTCATTACAGTCAATCAATGCATCAATCAAAGCTCCATCCATTCTCATCCACTGACATCTCACTGCTGCTTTCTTTCTTCTCAGGGAAGGTCTTGAAGACGCAGTATGAATCACCAACAGGGCTGTCACAGTTCTGCTGTGTACATGTCTTAAAGCTACAGTGTACAGTAGGGTGGAGCACCATCTACATGTAGAAGGACACATATACAGTTTAATCGGTTCTACAACAGCCCTCGTGTCTCGATCCACTCGTATCTAGATCGACGTTTACCCATTAAAAATAACTAAAAACCAATCAATTCATTCCAGCCCTCCAGAAATATACTATTAATTCCCCCGCATCAAAAACATATATAAACAAATATACTGATAAAAAAATAATAATAATGATTAAG